CATTAAAAGTGATAATGAAAATGATAGTGAATTTCTTTTTGGTTTGAATAACTATCATTTAAATCTTTAATGTCTTGATAAGTCATAGGCGAAAAATGATATTTAAAGCTGGTCTTAATTATGCTGTAGGTTTTGTAGAAGAAAGTCTAGAGATACGTGATTGTTTTTTTTTTGATATTTGAGAACTATCAGAACCCAGATCTTGTGGTTCTTTATAAGGTGCCTTAAATGGTGCATAAACGTTTTTTGAATTATGCTTTGATCGTATTGGTGGCCTTTTTAATGGTACCAATGATGTTCTTGGTGATGATTATTTGATGTTTCCGGTGATGCTTCATTTGATGTTCCTGGCGATGATTTATTAGATGTTCCCAGCGATGATTCATGCAATGTTCCTGGTGATGATTTATATGATGTTCCCAGTGATGATTCATATGATGTTCTCAGTGATGATTCATACAATATTTCCATTAATAATTCACGCAAAAGTCATGGCGATGATTCATGTGATAGTTGTGAATTTTTTTTTGTGGAGGTGAAAAAAAACAAACCATTAATTAAACTTTAATAATGTATAATAACATAAATTAAAATTTATAAAATGTAATCACCTTTATCGTAATCTTCCTCTTCAAAATCCAGATAGTTTTTTGTATCTCAGGAAAGTAAGTAAACTCTTTATAAGGAATATCGTCAAAATTCAGAGAGATTAATAATGACGTATTCCTAAGCATCTGGTCATCGTTTGGACTATTATAGGCCCTGATTCCTTCTCTACTATGATGGCCAGAGAACATCATACGTTCATCTTTAGGAACATCCAAGTCCTTAAGCCATTGAATCATGGTACGACATAGCGAATAGTTGCAGACCTTACGACTATTGTCAAGGTTGATACTAGTAAGTTCTGCAATTTTTGGCAACATTGTATTTAACTTATTTGTTCTCATTCGAGATTTCTTAAACCAAACCCCTTATTAATATCTGTAAGAAAAAAAAAAAAAGTCAGTAAAAATAGTACTACAAGATTGAAGTCAAAAAAAACAGTGCTTTAAAATCTTTGCCGCCCATGTTGTTTCCAAAAAAAATGAATCACAAGCATTAATAGAACAAAAAAAAATCAAATACAAAATATCCTCAATTGGTTTAAAGCGATTATTCACTTGATCTGGAGAAATGAGTATTTTTCTTGTAGAGCTTTTTCCATATTTGTTTCATTTTAAACCCCATGTTGATTGTTTTTCTCATGAGTAAATGTAGGATAAAGCTCACCATCATCTCAACAAGAAATATCTTTGAATTTAATTCTTTTGGCATCGCCACCACGGAGACCACAGAGAAGCGACAACCAAAAGAACACTCGTCGAATCAACCCTTCATTAGTTCCAACTTCCATTGATTCGTGGTTAAGAATATTAGAAATTTCTTTAGCAGTTAATAGTGAGGCTTGATCCATTTCTCCCAAACCTTCATTTTGCAATTTCTTCATTTTATCATCAAGCGTTCTCAATGCCTTATTAAAATGATACGAATCCATAACTTACACAGTTTAATTTTGCTGTGTTCTTTTAATAATGAGCCACAGAAGCATAGCAATTATGAATGCTTTCTGCTTTGTAATCTTTTCCATCTAGCCGTTTTAGCCAGGTAAGAAACTTGCGCAAAAAGTCATTTAATTCTGCAAGTGACTCTATTTCTTTCATAATTTAAGGTTTTGCAAAACCTGTCAACAGAGCATAGCCACTTAGAGGTACACTTGTTTGTATTCTCTATATGAGAAAGCTTTTGCAATTCAAGAACTTCAGCTTCAGTTGGTGCAACATTTCTATTTCTTGTTCTCATTTTTTTTAAAAAAAGATTGATAAGAAAAAAAAGATCGATTCGATTACTAAAATAAGT